CTGCTATAACAGAAATACCACAAGTGGATGGCTTTAACAGAGAGAAATTTATTCTCTCAGAGTCTAGTAGGCTAGAAGTCCAAATTCAGGGCACCAGCTCCAGGGGATGGCTTTCTCTCTCTGTCGGTTCTGGAGGAAGGTCCTCGTCATCAATCTTCTGGTCTAGGAGTGTCTCAGCACAGTGACCTCAGGTCGAAAGGACGCGCACGGCTCCTGGCTCTGCTTTCTTGGTGGTAGGAGGTCCCCATGTCTCTCTGCTTGCTTCTTTCTTTTATATCTCAAAAGAGATTGACTTATGACACAGCCTAATCTCAGAGGAGCCCTGGTCGCATAGTGGTTAAGAGCTCAGCTGCTAACCAAAAAGGTGGGCAGTTCAAATCCACCAGCTGCTCCTTGGAAACCCTATGGGGCAGTTCTACCCTGTCCGGTAGGGTCACTATAAGTTGGAACCGACTTGACTGGCACCTGACAGCAACAATCTTATAGACTGAGTCCTGCCTTATTAACATAACTGCCACTAATCTCACCTCATTAACATCACAGAGGTAGGATTTATAACACACAGGAAAATCACATCAGATGACAAAATGGTGGACCATCACACAATATTGGGAATCATGGACTAGCCAATTTGACACATTTTTGGGGGGACACAATTCAATCCATAACATCTGGCTTATAGAATAAAAATCTCCCCTTTAGGGTGGAAGGGAGGAATGTGCTGTCACAGTATAGGGAGAGCAATTAGGGTCACATAACGATGTATATGTATACATTTTTGTATGAGAGACTAACTTGAATTGTAAACTTTAACTTAAAGTACAACAGTAAAAAAAAAAACTCCCCTTTACACCCTTCCCTTCAAATTTGCATTCTTCCTTCTTGTTGCGATTTACCCTGAATCACTTGAGGACTTTTTCTTTGAATTTTCAAATATATATGCCTGTTCAGTGCATATTTTTTGCATAAATGGGGTTGCTTATTATTATTATTCTGTGACATGCCTTTTTCTCTTAACTGCATACTTCAGAATACTTTCCCTATCTATTTAAGTGGAACTGCCTCATTTTTAAATACCTGCGTGGTACTCCAGGATGTAAATGTTCCATAATTTATTTAACCACAAAGTTTTCTTAAGTAGGCAAGGGGAGGTAAGGAGACTTGATCACCTCTAGTCAATTATTTTCGTGCCATTTAAACATGTACAAGATCTTCCTCTTAAAAGTCCTGTTCATATCTACCATCTCTGCTGTACCTCAGCGCTTTCTGAGGTGGGCAGAGGAAGGCTAGTACTTCCATTTTATTGATAAGGAATCTTTTTCGTGATTTGCCGGAAATAAAGCCAGGCAGGGAGTGCGATAAAACAAATACTGGCCATGGTTTCAATGACTCAAGTCCAAACCACTAATAAGTGGAAGAGTTGAAATTCATCTTAAGCCCACATGGCTCTAACATTCCTGCTGCCTTCAGGGAATAAGGAATCAAGAGGGAAAAAAATGAAGGAGAAAAAATGGCAGAGTGAAAAGGGCCCTCTCTGTTGCTTCATAGACTCCGGGGGTCACCCACCCCACTCCGCTCTGAGCCACTTAACCCCTTACAGACCTTAACCAGGCTTCCTTTGTGGGAGGTTGAGGTTAGTTGCTGTGGAGTTGATTTCCACTCATGGCACCTTCACCTCCATGTGTGCAGAGCAGAACTGGGTTCCATAAGGTTTTCAAGGCTGTGACCTTTCAGAAGCAGATCGCCAGGCCTGCCTTCCGAGGCTTCTCCAGGTGGGTTTGAACTACCATCCTTTCAGCTAGTCGTCGGGTGCTTAACCATTTGCGCCACCCGGGGACACCATGGGAGGTTAATAGGAGCCTCATTTTCTTTTACCTTATCATCTAGCTGCTTTTTTTTTTCAATCATAACTTTCTTAGGAAGAAACTTCTCTGACACCGTCCTGTGGGAATGTCCACTCTGGCCCCTTTATCCTGGAGCCCCACATCACCATACTGGGACCTGGCCGTCTCTGTGTTTCACAGGCTGACACAGAGCCGGGTCCCCGGATCCCCTGCATCACAGGCCATCTGTCCCTGCACTGCCCACTCTCAGCCCTTTTAATAGCACAGTCCTTGGGGACAATGGTCTCCAGGGTGGTTTCATAACAGGCCTGGGTGAGGGCGGGGACACCCCGGTGCTGCCAAGCGTCTAATTGAGTTGGGTGTCGAGGGAGGCAGCAGCTAAAAAAAGTCCTGTTGGGGGAAGAGTTTTCCAAGGTGGGGGCCCTATTTCCAGCACCCCACCGGGATGGACGGGTGAGTGTGCACACATCAGAAGGGTGGAAGAGAAAGGGTGGGAGAGGAGTGAGGAGGCCTCGCTAAAAATACAACCCATCTGCATTGTGTTAGCTACTTTCCCCAGAAACCACTGGAAACAGAGTGCTCCAGGAGAACCTGGCAGTGCTGCGACCTGGCGCCTGGGCCCTGGCCTCCCTGGCCCGCCTCCTTGGGCTGTGGACAGGTGCTCTCCCAGGGGGCTCTTCCATGAGGCCTGGGTGGCCAGCAGCTCCTAGCCTGATCCCAACACGCATGAATCCCAAACTAGCCTCCAGCGGGGACCACCATGCTTTTATGAGGCACTGCTTTTGTTACAAGGTCCTTGGGTGGTGTGAACGGATTGTACTTGATTACTAAAGATTGGCGGTTCTAACATACCCAGTAGCCACGGAAGAAAGGCCTGGTGATCTGCTTCCATAAAGATTACAGCCAAGAAAACCCTATGGAACAGTTCTACTCTGTAACACATGAGGTCACCATGAGTGGGAATTGACTCTAGCAACGGGTTTTTGGGTTTGTTTTTTTGTTTTGGTCTTTGGAACACTCTGAAAGTCTAAGTCTCCCTGCTTCTTCTGGGAAGGAAAGAAGGCCAGGGAAGGCTGGGAGCTGCAACCTGGTCTCACAGCGGCTGCCCCAGTGCAGGAATGGCTGTCCATCCAGAGGCCTTGTGTCCCCTGGTTGCTGGACAACCATGGCACAGACTCCCCAGATCCCTGGCCCATCCACAGGAAGAAGCAGAAGGAGCAGAGGAGAGTGGGGTGGGGTTGGGGGGGTTTCTTCTGACCAACCAGCTGGTAGAGATTGTTGGCCTTTCAGGGCAGAAGGGAAAGTCTGAGAGCTTTACCCTTTAGAAAGCCTGGAAATAAAGTTGAGAAGAAGGAAGCAAGAAAGGAGGAAGGGAGGAAGGAGGGAGGGAGGGAAGGAGAAAGGGAAGGAAAGGAAGGGAGGGAAGAGAAAGAAGGAAGAAAGGGAGGGAGGGAGGGAAGGAGAAAGGGAAGGAAGGAAGGAGAGCAAGGAAGTAGGAAGGAACCCACCCTTCCAGGCCAGGCAGCTGTGGTGTATAGAATGAGTACTGGCCTAGTGTTCCGAAGAGCCATTTCGAGTCCTTGCCCTGTCTGGGCAAGGCACTGAACCCTTGTAAGCTTTGGCTTCCTCATCTCGCGTGTTATCAGGGTGAAATAAAATAGCACAAGAAAGCATTTTGTGAGCTTTGAAATGCATTCCAAAAATGAGGAATTGCTGTTGTTCTCCAAGCAAATAGTTAAAAAATTTTTTTTCCTGATTGCTTATTATAGATGCTAATTTTCAGTCCACTACCCAGTGATCACTCTTGTTAACTTTTTGATGTATGTTCTCCCGGGCTTTTGTTGTGGGACTATTCATATTTATATTTCAAAATTGGGATAATACTATATTTCTGTTCTTTAATTGCTTTTTCTATTTATTATGCCATAAGCATTTTCCCATATTAAAGAACCTTTTACAAGTTATTGGCCCATAACTTATTTATCTAGTTCCTTGTTGTTAGTTGCCATGGAGTTGATTCTGACTCGTGGCGACCCCATGTGTGCAGAGTAGAACTGCCCCGTAGGGTTTTCAAGGCTATGACCTTTCAAAAGGAGATTGCCAGGCCTGTCTTCTGAGGTGCCTCTGGGTGGGTTCAGACTGCCAACCTTAACCTTTTGTGCCACTCAGGGACTCCTACCAATGGACATTTAGTTGCTTCCCGTTTTTCTCTATTATAAACAGCATCGTGGTGAGCCTTCTTGTAAGTAAGTCATTGAGTGCCCTCTCTGATGGTCTTCTTGGGAAATTTCCCACAGAGAGGGGATTGCTGAGTCCAAGAGTGTGAATCCTTTAAACAATTTTGACTCGTTTTGCAAAGCTGCCCTTAATTTATACACCCATAAACCACATAGGAAAGTGCTGGTTTTGATGCATTGCCGACACTGAAAACTTGGCCGGCTCCATCTAGTGAGCTTGAAGATTTTTTCCATGTTTGTTTGCTGATTGTAGTCCTTTTATGAATTTCCAGGCCATGTCCTTGCCTCGTTTCTCTTGGTTCATCACAGTCTATGCCATCCTGAAATCCAAGTGAGGGCTGCAGAGCCAGTCTTAGAGGAATTAGGGTCCTGAGTCCCTCTCTGGCTTCCTTCCTCGGCCACTGTTGTTGTTTTAAGCTTATAGTGACCCCGTGTGACCGAGCAGAACTGCCCCATAGTGTCTTCTAGGCTGTAATCTTTGCGGGAGCAGCCCCGGTAGCACAGTGGTTAAGTGCTCGGTTGCTAACTGAAAGGTGGGCAATTTGAACCCTCCAGCAGAAAGATGTGGCAGTCGGCTTCCATGAAGATTTCCATGAAGAAACTCTATGGCGGCACTTTTATCCTCCCCTAAACGGTTGCTTTGAGTCAGGATCATGTGTTGCTTTTTTCTATTTTTTTGAAATATGTTTTAATTTTGAAGAGCAAATAAAAGAATGGCGTCCGCAGAGCCAAGTCAGCCGGTGTTGCAGAAGGAGCCCTCGGTTCCCTGGGAGTAGCGCTCCTAATGGGCCAGCGCTTGGGGTGCTGGGGGTGGACAGTCAGTGTGGTGCCCCAAGTGCCGCAGCCCCAGCCTTGTCCTTCCCCCTGGGCGTCCCCGCCGCAGCAGGCCCCAACCTTCTTCCTCGCCCTCCCTCCCCAGGGCTGCTGCTCCACGACGTGACCATGGCGGGGCTGCAGGAGCTGCGATTCCCCGAAGAGAAGCCCCTGCTCCGGGGCCAGGACGCCTCCGAGGTGGTGAGTCGCTCCTTCTCGGTCCTGGGGCCGAGGGCGCCACCTGGTGGCCAAGAAGGAAACCTCGCGTCTTTCCTCCAGTCATGACGATAGTAACTAGAGCTGACGCTCCATGGGGACTAGCCAAGTGCCACGTGCCCGGAATCCTTACACTACCCTCACAGGCTTTGTCCCTGCCTTCCTGCTGGCCTGAGTGTCCACTCTGTTAAGATCAAGCCAACCTCACTGTGGCTTCAGCTACCTGTGTGGATGAGAAAAGTTGGTGATGAGAAAACAGGCACAGAAAGGGCATCTGACTTGGCCAAGGCCACACAGCTAGCAGGGAATGAGGCTGTACCCAGCCTCTGGTTCTGGGTGGCCTACAGCCCCAGGCAGTAACCACTGGGCAGGGATGCCCCTGGTGCTCCCCTTTCTGCTTGCTTTTTTGTCTTTTCCTCACAAGCTTCTGAGGTTTGAGGGCTTGTATTACCAACAGTACCACCTGGGGCAGTGGAACTGAGACCATCAGGGGTTACTAAGTCACCAAAGTCCCCTCTGTCTGGGGACCAGGCGTTCGATTCCAGATTTCTACCCACGCTTGGCTGGCACACTCTCCCTGTTCCATCATACTGGGAACTGTGACACAAACCTCCCTGCCAGGAGAGGCTGTGGGCCCACACCTCAGAATTCTGGGGTGTCAGGGCTGGGGGTGCCAGCTGGTTATGCTATTCCTGCCCTTCCTCATTTACAGAGGGGAAAGCTGGGAGCCCAGTCCCTGGAATCTTCAGGAAGCTCTTTGCCCTCTTCAGGCTCCCCCGAGCCGCCCCCAGCTTCCCACCAGAAGGTGAGCCCAAGGGCCACCAAGCAGCAAGTATTGGGCTCTGAGCAACAAGCCAGGGATTCAGGGGATCTGGCCACATGAGGCCAGCTGTCCTGTCCCCAAGAAGGCTACAGCCGTATCTTTAAGGCAGGACTTAGTTAACTCACAAGACCCGGAATATTGGAGGGCAGCCCCTCCCCAGGAGTGGCCAGGGGACACTTTGCAGGGCCCTTTGTTACCATTCCATTCCTTCCCAGGTCCCGGATGTTTGCAGGGGCCTCCTCACTGGCCTCCTTGCTTCTGCCCTTGTTCTTCACAAGCCTTCAAAGTACAGAGTGTCACTGCTCTGCTGGAATGTCATCAGTGCCGTGCTGCCACCTCACTCAGCCACAGCCTTCCTGGGGCCTGGGTGCAGTCTGCACCCCTCTCCCATGCTTTCCCCTGGCTCACCCCTCTCCATTGTCCCTGGCTGGCTGCTGGTCCTCGACCATGCCCATCATATTCCCAGGCTGGAATATTCTAGCCCCAGAAATTTGCAGGCCTGGCTCCTTGTCTGACCCAGCCCAGCTCCCCACCCTACCCCCCCAGGCTCCTGGGAGTAGGGATCTTGTCTGTGTGGTCCCCGTCTCCCCAGCACTTAGCACACTGCCTTGTACATAGTAGGCTCTCAGTAAAGGCTTGGACTGGGTGGAAGCCACAAGTTGTGATCCAGCTCAAAAGAAAGACGTTTCTCAAAACTTTCTGGAAATCCCCTTTTCCCCACAATCAATCTTTTGAGGTGTGTGAACAGACACCAACTCTCTTGGGAGGGCCTGGTGGGGCAATGGTGGTCCTCAGGGAACCTTCTGTCACAAGGGCTGAAGTGCGGGGTTCCATTACAGCCCTCATGGAGGGTTTGCCTGCTGGGATGGGGGTGCATCTGTGGTCCTGACCAGGCCCTGTGGTACATGAGGGCATGTTAGCCTGGTACCACTTGTTCCTGTCATCTCAGCAGTGGGCACCCCAAGAGATATCCCTGCCAGGGTGGCCCCACACCCTGTCTCTGTCCAGTCTGGCCAGCCCGTTGTTGCCCCCTCCCTCCCTCCCTGACTTGAGGGACATGCTCCCACCTTTTCATGGGGGTGCTGCATTCTTTCTGCTTCTGCCTTGGTTGGGGGCTGAGATCAAACTTCGTCCACCTGCCGCCATGGCCAGTGATTGCCACCACAGTGTTCCTGCCTTGCGTGAGGGTGTGCGTTTCAGTCCCCTGCTGGAGGCCTCGAATCCCTGGCCCAGTTTCTCTCTTAGTCAGCACAAGTCCCATGCAGTGGACCTGGTCATGTCCTTCTATTCCAAAAGTGCATTAAAAGCCCTGTCCCCAACCCTGACGACAACCCTCGGTGCTCCCCAGCTCGGTCTTCCCAGGTATTGGTGACAAGCTAGCACAGGCCTCTGGACTCAGCCTTCAAGAGCTGTTTGGTGTGCTCGTTCCGAGCTGAGACACCCTCAGGTGAATTCTCCTTTTCCGCCTGCAGTGCGTGAATGGGGCTGTCGGCTTCACTTTTTAAATCTTCCGGAGAGGGGTGAATCCTTCCGCATGGTCACCCCCATCCCTGCGGTCACTTTAGACTTTCTTGCCTTTGAAGACTCGAATGCCAGGGCTGTCCAGGACTCTGTGGGGGAGCTGCTGCTCGTTCTCCCACCCCGGCACCCCCCGCTCGGCCTCCCATGGCCCCTCCTGTGCCTGGCCAGCTCCTCTTAGCTGGGCCTTCCCTCCTGCCGTTATCCCTGAGTTTATAACTCATCTCCTCCTGGACCTCCGGGTCTCTGAACTGGCTTGTATTGCTCTGTGGTGTCTTTGTTTTACTGGTCCTGCTGCTTTCGCAGCCCCCCAAATCTCCTGGCGCCCCCCAGCACCCTGAGGGCACACAGCGTACCCCATCATTATCTGCCTCATCCTCTTTGTCTGAGTGTGTTTTTAACAAAACTGCCTCCTCTTGACTCCTCTGAGATAATTGCCCCCTTAGTGTCTCGAGTGTAAAAATCTCCCACGTCTCCTTCCCCAGCCCCATTGTGCAAGGGTTCATAACCAGCCCCCATCCCTTCCCCCCAGCCACATCACCTTCTGCTGAGGGCAGAACCAGACTTGGTTCCACTAATCAAAGGCCCACCCCGCTCAGTGGAAACCACCCAGGCAGTGTAAACTCAGACCTCTGTGCTATGAGAGCATGAAGCAGGCAGGTCAGGAAAGGCAGGAGGGGACGTGTGGATGGAGCAGCTGCCACTGCCACTGGCCCAGATTAGAAAAGCGTCCTCGTTAACTCCCTTCCTGTGTGGACCTCAGCTTCCCCATCCCTAAAACGGGTGTGATCGTAACTTTCTTCTGTCAGGACTGCCCATAAATCATCAAATGTTCCTTCCCTGCCTCTGCCCTGTGCCTCGATGGTCAGACCATGAAAACCATGTCGGGGGGGGGCGGGGGGGGCAGCAGGGCCGTGACAAAGAGCAAGGCATTGGAGTCAGAGATCCCACTGCTTTTGAGCCTGTGACTCAGCCTTTCTGAGCCTTACCTTTCTCACCTGTGAAAAGGAAATCTTCACATTTTAAATTAATAAGTAAAATCAGTGTTAGCAGCTGCTTAGGGGCTCATCTGCCAAAGACTTAATACCTCCCTGCCTGGCCCTTTGTAAACCCTTGGTTGCTCTTATTAAGACAGACTCACACGCGGCTGTCGAGTCAATTTGGACTCATAGTGACCCTACAGAACAGAGTAGAACTGCCCATAGGGTTTCCAAGGAGCAGCTGGTGGATTCAAACTGCTGACCTTTCGGTTAGCAGATAAGCTCTTAAACACTGCATCCCCAGGGCTCCTAAGATAGACCAGGGAACTGAATTATCTATTCTGGGTGGTGCAGCGGTTAAGCACTTGGCACTACTAGCTGGAAGGTTGGCCGTTCTAACCCACCCAGTGGCTCCATGCGAGAGAGACCTGGCAATCTGCTGCTATAAAGATTACAGCCAAGAAAACCCTAAGGGGCAGTTCTGCTCTGTCACATGGGTTGTTATGAGTTGAAATCAACTCAGTGGCACCCAACAACAACATACTCCAGGGAACAGAAATCATGTCCACTCGAGACAGAGCCCTGTGGGCTCCCAGGCCAGTGGGGCCTGACTCTGCCCCGTCTATCTGCCTTCCCACAGGAGAACTCGGATGCCTTCCTCTTGACTGTGGACACAGACTGGAAGGTAGGTCACCACCGTTTAGCCTCCTGAGATGTGGGACTACAGCTGGCCGGTCCCCCACCGCCTGGCCTGGTCCCAGAGAAGGGTTATTATAGCCCTTATGTGCGCCCCATCCCAGAGTGGCCCCCGGGACCACCCCGACTACTCAGAGCAGCTCTGCCTGCCCCCTGCCCAGTGGAGAGTTGCCTGAGGCGGTCTGGCTTGTCCTTCCTCCTTGAACAGGACATTGGGGAAAGGAGAAAGATGGGGACAGAGAAGGGAGTGAGGGATGTTGTGATCTGAATCAGCATTTTCCACCAATGAAAGCCAGCCTGATGCTCAGAAATAGCTCCTGTCTCCATGGCAGCTGTTGCCTGGACAACCATGTCCTCCTTCGTTTGATGCCACAGTCTCTGTGAAAACCAAAATCTTGTTTTTATTCGTGCACACAATGCTCTTGCTCACCAGGCCCACCATTTCTCCCCTTTGAGACCCAGAGTGGCCATTTATTTCCAGGTCTCTGGAATTGTCTGGCTGCAGACATCTGTTATCTGTAGGCAGAAGAGGAGTGTGACTCACACTGGGAGTTTTGCCGGGTGCTGGGGCCCCATGATTGTCAAAACCTACTGAGCAAACACAGACCCTTCTGGGACCTTCCTCTTGGCTAGATGGAACAGCTCCCAGGCCAGTGCCCTGGTCGGGGCCTGACCTCAATTTGGGCCAGTTCCCAAGTCCCGTGACAGCACCAGCCTCGTGGTCTGGTGACGTGGCAGGCGGGGCTGTCTGATGCTCCTCCCCGGGGCCAGCAGCTCTGCAGTGAGGATCGATCTGCCTGTGCATTGGTCCTTGGTCACGCACCCCTTCAAGGACGTCAGGGGAGCCTTCAGTGCAGTCAAATGTGCACATGCTCAGATCCCTGGAGCGCCATCTCCAGACACAGAGGAAGAATGGGGACAGGGAGGTGGGGAAGGAGTGGGAGTCCAGGAGGAGGGATGGGAGGCACGCGGTGGAGATGGTCCAGGCTGGTAGGCAGCGGAGATCAGAGCAGGCCCAAACAAGGGCAAGAGGTGTAAGCAAACAGGCCATGCAGGAGGGGACGCTGCCCTGACGCACCGTCCCCATGGCAAGGGTGGCTGAGGGGGGTTTCCTGCCAGCCCCCAACAAACACACACCTGCTGCAGGTGTTGGGGGGGTGGTTCCGGGGTCATGGAAGAGGCCCCTGCTGCACCCCTGCATGCTGGGTCTACTGCTTTGAAGCTGCCCCCTCTGCCCAGGGAGCCCTCTGAAAAGCAACCACCCCAGCAGACTGAGTCCTTTACGTTGGGTGCTGGGCCCACGCCCAGGGTAGTGCTCATGGTGTGTGGGACCCCGATTCTCAGACCCTTCCCCTGGTAAAGGGCAGCATGTGTTAAAAGGCACCTCTTGTCCATGCCAGAGTCTCCTTTTTTTTTGCAAAGCAGCCACAAGTTTGGCTGATGTGTAGGTGGAGGCCTGGGAGAGTTTTCATCCCATTTCACAGGAGCAGGCAGTCACTGCTCCTTGCCTCAGTGGGTCCAGGCAAGGATAAGCGAGAGCCAGACAGACCTGCATCCAGGTCCTGGCTCTCTGCTTACTGGCCACATGACGTCGAGGACAAGTCACTCCACCTCAGCTACCTCATTTGTGCAGTGAGACAAGGAGCTCAGACCTCACTTGTGTGTTTTTGAAGGTTGGGGATGCTGCCTGCAGGCTGAGCACTCAGACACTTGGCATACGGCAGCCATGTCCAGAGAGGCAGTACAGGCTAGTGGCCACCAGAGCATAGGGTGCTCCTGGCTCACTAGCTGTGTGACATTGGGCAGGTTACCTAGCCTCTCTGTGCCTCAGTTTGTTCATCTGTAAAATGGGTATTAAAAAGATAACGTAAGATAACGTGTAAGGCGCTTGAGTAGAGCCTGGCACGTGGGAGACATTCTGGTAAGTGTTTGCCACTCTCAATAATGTAATCTCAGCCCCTTACTAGCTGAGTGGGAAAATTACTTAACCTCTCTGTGCCTCAGTTTCCTCGTCTGTATTTGATTGTCCTTTCTCATAGGCTTGTGAGGATTACGTGTCTTATCCTTACAGCTACCTGTGCAGTAGGCATTGCTGTTTCTTCCATCTACAGATACGGAGGGCTCAGAGAGGTTGAGTGACTTGCCCAAGGTCATAGCTATGGCTGGTACCTGGGTCTGGCTGGCTCCACAGCCCTGCTTTTAATCACCATGTGGGAGGGAGCAGGACCTGAACCTGCCTCGTGTGACCACAACACTGCACAACTCCAGGGAAGACGCAACACAGATGTCCCATTTCTCCCCTGCCAGGGCTGGGCAGGGCCTCAGGTCGTCTGGAGCAATTGATGCGGGGGTTTTTCATCCTCATGGCAACACTGTGAGGACAACACTAGTCTTTTACAGTTGAGGAGCCTGAGGCACGGAGAGGTTAAAAACTTGCCCAAGGTCACCCGGTCAGAGGGGGAGCCAGTACTTATACCCAGGTCTGTGTGATTTGAAGCCAGTGAGCTGGGCAGAAATGGGGAGCCTTGGCTTGGAGTGGGCAGTGTCGGAGGTCAGTTTCTCACCTGGGTCAGAGGGAAGGAGGTCAGAGGTTGGAGTGAGCATAGGTTACATGGGGGCTGGGGGAAGCAAGCAGGGCTTGCTGGCAGAAAGCTTTACTCTTCCTGGCCTGATCCCTTACACAGGTGGGACGCCACCCCTTGCCCCTTCCTTTGAGAGGCACATGGAACAACTTGGCAGCAGGGGCAGAGGACAGGGCTGTGCCTTTACAGGCTGCCCCAGATGTCCGAGCCTCTTCCTGTGCCAGGGTGGCTGCAGGGAACAGAGTGTGGCCAGAACGTGAGGTCCGGGGGTCACCCTGGCTACCTGCGGGTGGGGCACACGGCCAAGCACTCTGCCCAGGCCTCCAGAGCAAGACGGCAGAGATGGGGAAGGGGCAGTTGTGCCTCACCCCCAAGGCAGGGGTACGGCCAGGAATAGCATACCCGGCAGGTTTTGACCAGGTCATCAGGCGCCCAGATGCGGGAGCCCACCTCCTTCCTCCAGGGCCGCCAGCCAGCGTGCAGGGCTGTCAGTGCAGGCTGGGGCACATGGTGTGTTTCCACTCCAGAGAGACAGAATGGGGGCAGAGGCACCCAGCACCCCGCCTTCTCTCTGTCGCTCTGCTTTTCTCAGCCCTTGGGCTCCCTCCCTTGCTCACCTCCCTGGCCCATTTCCTCCCCTCTGCCTCTTTCCCCACCGCCTTCTCTCTGTTAGCTCTACCCACGTGCTGCTGACCAGCTCACCTCCCCAGATCCTCGCTGCCCAGGAGCCTCATGGATCCTGCGCCCCAGAGGCCTGGGAGCCAAGCCTACAGGCCCCGGGAAGGGGTGGGCATGTCAGCTGCGACAGGCTGCGTCCTGAGCCCTCTTCTCCTTGCAGCCGGATGAGGATGCCCCTCCGTGCCCCTGGCCCTGCAGTCCAGACCCCCTGGCCCAAAACCCCCACAGCAGAGTGGGCAGGCATTGGGCATACATGTGGGCAGGGGGGAGCTGCCTAGGGGAGGAGCTGTCCCCTTGAAGCAGGGCCACTACCTTGGGTGCCCCAAACAGCAGTCACTCTCCAGGCCTTCCTCGTGGGGATGCTGGGTGGTCCCCAGGAGGTTGGGACCCCGGGCATGGGTCAAGGGCTGTACCCATCTAAGGCATATCTGTGTGTCCTGCTGTGCCCTGCACTGGTGTGCACGTCTGTGAGCGGCTCCTGTGTGCCTGACACTGTGTATTGGGACATGCCTGTGTGTGTGGCCTGCACCTGTGTTCCTAGGACCCCGTGTGCAGCGGCAGCTGCCGGTGCTTGCTGGGGGTGGGAGAGACGACGGGACTGTCCAGGATTATGTGTTGCTGGGGGCGGGAGCAGCAGCAGCAGGGCTAGGGGGAGCAAGGACCTCGGAAGCCAATTGGAGCCCGATTTGACTCCCAACAGCCAATCTGGGAGCGGGGGCTTGGGGCGAGCAAGTGGCTGCTCAGGAGGCCCGCGGGGAGGATGGGCCAGCCTCAGCCGGGCCAGGATCTGAGTATAAATGTCCCGAGAGCGGGGCCCCATCACAGAGCCGACCCTCTCCGCCCGAGCTGCCCCTCCCGCGGAGTGACTCAGGCTTTTGTTTGTCCCTCCTGGTCGAGTCGGGGCCGCCTCCCTCCGCAAGATGCCGGAGTGCTGGGACGGGGTGAGTGTGGCTGGGCCCGGAAGGAAGGGCACCCCTCGGTCCCATGTCTGGCGTGCTGGTCCTGCAGTTGCCCCACCGCCGGGGTTACTGAGGCAATGCGGAGGGCTCAGGCTCCCTGGTCCGCAGGAGTGGTTAGGACAGCCAGGGCCTAGGGAAAGGGCAGAGTCAGGTGACATCTCTGCAGAGACGGATGCCCCCTGTCTGGGACTTGGGCGTGTGGCCCCGAGGGTCTCCTATAGGCATGTCAGTGTGTGCACATACCCTGGCGTGTGACTTCTGCCTGAACCCCGAGGCAGGGTTCCCCCTGCGGGCTAGTGTCCGAGGGTGTCTGCAGGCGGCTGCCCTCCTGCCCGTGTTTGTTGGTAGGGGGGTGTCTTCGTTGTTTGGATTAGCACCGAAGGACAGGCAGCCTCTTTCTTCCTTAAGAGCTACGTGCGAGGTTCTCCGTGGTCCCCAGGCATTTCAGTGCCATCCAGGCAGATGGAAGGGAAGTCTCAGCCATGGCCACCGCAAACGGCTGCCCGCAGGCAGGGGTCCCTGCGGGGGAGGGATGAGAAAGGGTTGCCTTATTTCGTGGGTGGGAGAGGGCAACGCTGGATCTTTGAGCCCAACAGGCTTGTGGTGCCAGGTGGGTGCCAGGCGCCCCTTCCCATCCCCTGGGGCAGCCAGGTGCACAGGACCCTTCACCCTCATGGAGGGAAGAGGCAAGGGCAGACTCCCCACCCCGCCTGCCTGGTCCGCAGACTGTGGGATCGATCGCCCGCTCCGAGGCGACGACGTCAGTGCCTACCGCCCGCGCAGACCCGTCCCCTGAATTATTGATGCAGTTGACGGCAAGAATCAGCCCCCTACCGTACCGGCTCCCCAATCTCTCCCGCCCCGAGGGCTGTGCAGCCCTCAAGGTCACGGGCGAGGGGAGACGGCTGGCCGACAGGGACGTCAGAGCCCCCTCCCTCACTGCCGCAGTGCCTCCCGTTGGCGCCCACCTGGAGGGAGGGGCTCTGACGTCACCCGAAGCCAATAGGAGCGCTTGGCCTCGAGGTTTGGGAAGCTCAGAGCGTGTCGGGCTGCAGCCCGAAGGGGGGCCCCACTGTGAGCAACAGCCGGAGGGATGGGGGTTCTACCAGGCCAAGCTGGGTCTGGGCTCTCCCAGGGTCGGAGGGTTTAGCCAAGGTCACTGGGCCACACGGGATTAGCGCCCAGGCCCAACCCCTCCTGTCCCAGGGGAACTGAGCTTTAGTGGGGCCATCACTGCGGCTGAGGCTCTGCACGGGGTTGGGGTGGGGGGGGGATTGGGACCAGGGCTGAACAGGGACATCGGCCCTCCTCAGCAGTGGAGGGCAGGCATAAGCCCCACCCACCCATGCCTGCCCTGGGGTCACTGACCCCGGAGAGTCTGCGCTGAGAACTGCCTTTTATGCTACAGGAAGCGCATTGCAGCTGTCCGGCAAGGACGCCCCTCCTGCCTTCCAGAGCCCAGAGAAAGGGGGGAATGCGGCATGGACCCCCAGCAGGGACAGCTGGCTGTGGAGGGGCTGCCTCCATACCCCTGGCCCCTGAGGCTGGCACCTGGCAAAGCCCACCTGCCCCCTCTGGGCTTGACCTTGGCAAGTCATTTCTTTCTTGGCCTCGGTTTCCTTCTCTGTGGCTTGGATCCATGTGAGGAGTAAATGAGAGAAGTGTCCAGCAAGTGGTCAGTGGTCCGTTGTTCATGTGGTTAGTTCTCACAAAGTCCCCGTGAGGTGGCTCCAGGTGAGGGCACAGAGGAGTGATGTACCCTGCTCAGAGTCACACACTAGTGGATTCAAACCTACAGATCCACTGTTTCTTGATGGACCAATGACCCTAAGTAGCAAAACCAAGGGTGTGAACACAGGAACATCCCAGAGTGGGTACCGGGAAGGCCTTTGGGGAGCGGGTGGGTTTCTAACCCCGGGCCTGCCTGAAGGGAGGCCTTGGGGAAGAGCATTCAAGGTGGAAGGACCAACTGAGCAGGAGCTTAGAGGTGGGAACCAGGGACAGGTGTGAGGGTCTGGTGGTGGGGGGTTGGGCTTGGCTGGCATGGAGCTGTTTACCAAGAACTGTAGCTGGGGCTGGAGTGCCTGGGTGGTGCAAACAGTTAACTTGTTCAGCTGCTAAGTGAAAATTTGGGAGTCTGAGTTTACCCAGAGGTGCCTCGGAAGAAGGCCTGGCGATCTACTTCTGAAAAGTCAGCCATTAAAAACCCTGTGGAGCCCAGTTCTACTCTGACACACACGGGGTTGCCGTGAGTGGGAATCATGGCAACTTGACAGCAACCGGTATTGATCTAAACCAAAAAAAAACCTAAACCCATTGCCATCGAGTTGATTCTGACTCATAGTGACTCTATAGGACAGAGCAGAACTGCCCCATAGGGTTTCCAAGGAGCGCCTGGTGGCTTTGAACTGCCAACCTTTGGTTAACAGCCAAATTCTTAACTGCTACGCCACCAGGGTTTCCAGTATTAGTCTAGCCAGGGCTATTGAGGCCATTCCCCTTTAGGAGCAGGGAGCACTTGAAGGGTTCTGAGTTGGGGAGGACCAAGGTGGGAGCGAGGTTCAGGCTGGGGTGAAGGGGTTAGTGGGGAGGCTATCTCAAAGGTGCTGCAGCAAGATGGAGAAAACAGGCCTCACTGGACCCTTGAGGGCTGAGTGAAGGGCAGCGCTGGGCTAGGATAGCACGGCTGGCTGGCTGGCATGCGAGGGGCCCCGTGCTTCTCCACGCAGACCAGTTCATGTTGTTCCTGACATGGCTGGGGGGGCTGCTGCATGTGGTCTGTCCTCTCTGGGGGCTGCTTGGGTGATAAGAATGGGATGCCCCAGATGGGGCCTACCGCAGACCCAACAGCCCACAGCCTCATTCCCCAGGAGAACCAGGAGTGGGGGCTGCCCAGAGTGCCCAGCGCTGTCTGTCCCCTCCAGGAGCATGACATCGAGACGCCTTATGGCCTTCTGCACGTGGTGATCCGTGGCTCCCCTAAGGGGAACCGCCCGGCCATCCTCACCTACCATGACGTGGGCCTCAACCGTAAGTGCCCAGCCTTGCTTGGCCCTTGAGTCCACCGGAGCAGTAAGGCCTTCCCCTCCACTCCCCACAGGACCCACAACTCACCTTTGTAACCTTAGCCACCTGGGCCACAGTTTCCCCATTGGACCATGAGGTTGATCACCTCTGCCTCGCCTGCCCTCTCAGCCCCTCCTGCCCCTGCTCTGCTCAGCCACAGCCGAGAAATGTGTCTTTGCAGACAAGCTGTGCTTCAACACCTTCTTCAACTTTGAGGACATGCAGGAGATCACCAAGCACTTCGTGGTGTGCCATGTGGACGCCCCAGGGCAGCAGGTGGGGGCGTCGCAGTTTCCTCAGGGGTAGGTACCCCAAGCCCCCCCTAGTCTTTCCCCAGCTCTGCACCCAAGCTGCCCCTGAGGCCTGACCTCCTGCTCTGCCTGCAGGTACCAGTTCCCCTCCATGGAGCAGCTGGCTGCCATGCTCCCCAGCGTGGTGCAGCATTTTGGGTGAGTCCTGGCCCAGCCCTGTCCCTCTGCTGGGGAGTATGGTGTACACAATACCACCACGGACCCACCAGGCTCCAGCTGAGGGCTGCGGGGGGGCCTGCTCTGGGTGATACCGCCCCACGGAGGGGGGGACTGGTGCATCCGTGGGGAATGGCACCCCAGCCCTAGGTTTACCAGTCACGCTCTCTACCAGGTTCAAGTACGTGATTGGCATCGGAGTGGGAGCTGGGGCCTATGTTCTGGCCAAGTTTGCAGTGAGTACCGCACCAGCCCCCCAGCCCTGCCCAGGAGACTGCGTCACCGGCCCAGGGCCCGTCTCCCCCGGGAGCAGCCCTTTGGCCACAGGGAGATTTTCCTGCTCTTTCTTCTTCGCCTCCCCCCCCCACCCCCACTTCCTTTTCATTTGGAAGAGTCCTTTTTTTCTGTTTTTCCTCCAAGGAAATTAACTTTTTTTGAAAACATGGCTTCTTCCATACATTTCCTCAGAAGACTATAAACTATAACTTGCTTAACCATTATTCAAAACCAGAATTTCTATTAGCAACAAACTATACAACTAATTGCTCTAGCCACTAAATAAGGATTGCCCTTCACTAAGGTAATAATTAAACATGGAATACTTTTTTACCCCAGAATTACACTTACATTAAGCTTGTGAGATTTAAAGAAAGTCATATTTGAAAAACATCTTTAAAAACAAAGACTTAATTTTTAGGATTCAAAATATTTCTTTCATCAAAACAAATGACCAAGTATGGAATCCAGACTTTCTGGAGCTGTCAAGGCAGGATGAACACCCCAAACGACTGCCCTGAGATATTCTTTAAACCTTAAACCAAAAATATCCCCTGAAGTCTTCTTAAAACCAAACAGCAGTTTAACTTAACTAGTAAAGAATGTCTGCCTTGAGCATTGTATTCTTTTAAGATCTATCTATATGGGATCGAATTGAGAACAGTAACTTGAAAGATTAGATAGGAAACTTAGGGGGACAGTGAATTTATGTTAATGGGGGAGGATCAACTCAGAAAAGGCAGGTGAGAATGGTTGCACAACTGGAAGAATATAACCACTGAATGGTACGTGTAGAAACTGTTGAATTGGTGTATGTTCTGCTGTGTATGTTCTCAACAACAAAAATAAATTAAAAGAAAACCAAATCCACTGCCATCATGTCGATTCTGACTCACAGAGACCTCATAAGGTTTCCAAGGCTGTAAATCTCTACGGAAGCAGACTGCCATCTTTCTTCTGCAGAGCCGCTGGTGGTTTCGAACTGCCGACCTTTTGGTTAGCAGTTGATCGCTTTAACCACTGCACCACCAATTGTAAACACATTACTATTTTGTTAACTATAGACCATTCCCTACCACCCCAGACAAACTTGGCATGACTCTAGCATAGCATGTATGTTACCGTCTTCCTCTGAACATGGGCAGTTAAACAGAAGATGCAGATCTGTATTACAACGTCCAAGGAGCCCTGGCAGTTCAGCAGTTTGAACTCACCAGCCAGTCCGTGGGAGAAAGATGTGGCAATCCGCTTCCGTAAAGATTACAGCCTTGGAAATCCTATGGGACAGTTCTACACTGTCTTATAGGGTCGCTATAAGTTGGAATCGACTGGACAGCAATGGGTTTGGTTTTGGGTTTGGTTACAATGTAACCAAGCCGTAAAAAGGCCAATTCATGTCAATCACTAGGGCTTCATTTTCTATAAGAGCAAAGAAAAAATATCTACAAAACGTAACAAGGTGTTCTATTTAAGATGTGTAATACTCAGTTTTATAAAGGTATATCAAAAGCAGTGGAAAACAGTGATATAGTTGTAGGTTCTGAGCAAAGCAAAGAATTTTAAAAGGCTAAGGGGAGGGAGGGAGGTGATGCCATGTGTTACAGAATAGACCTGCTCCATAGGGTTTTCTTGGCCATATATCTTAATGGAAGCAGATTGCCAGGACTTTCTTCCATGGTACTGCTGGGTAGGTTCAAACCGCTAACTTTTGGGTTAGCAGGCAAGTGCATACTGCACCACCCAGGGACTGCTATGAGTCCAGTTGACTGGACAGCAACTAACAACAACAAAGGTGGGGAGCAAGGCCGTGGGCATCTGGAAGCAGTAACGCAGGCGGGCTCTCAGCTGTAGCCAGTTGGCTTATCAATGGCACCGTGAAGTCTTTGCAGAGCATTTCTGTCGCCTTTGACCCTCCCAGCCGCCTGTGAGATCGGCAGGGCCAGCTTTTTAAAGCTCATTTTCTAGGTGGGAAGATAGGGGCTCCCTGTGCGCCACCCCGCCCAGCCCTGCCTCCCTCTTACTGCAGCTCATCTTCCCTGACCTGGTCGAGGGGCTGGTGCTGATGAACATCGACCCCAATGGCAAAGGCTGGATCGACTGGGCTGCCACCAAAGTGAGCATGGCCATGGCCCCGCCCATGGGAGAAAGGTGGGGCAAGGGTCGTGACACCCACACACCAGCCCTCTGAGCCTGTGTCCTTCTGTCCACTCCCCTGGGCCCATGGGACGGGATGGGGGCGAGGGATGGGTACTCACACTGGCCTCCACCTTGGCCTGCAGCTCTCCGGCCTGACCAGCACTTTACCTGACACGGTGCTATCCCACCTCTTCAGCCAGGTAAGGGGGTGGGGGCTTCTGCAGATCTGGGCCAGCCTCAGACAGGAGCAGGGTGGCGAGGCTGGAGATCTTGGCTCCATCTCAGGAACCTTGGGCAGCTGCTGAAAGGCCTGGGTCTGCCCAGTCGCAGCCACTCCTAGGGATGCCTGGCAGCCAGGCAGATGGTTATTTGGCCCCTGGCATCTCACTCTGTACTTGGCTATCATCTGTGCATCCCTGGTGTCAGAAGAGCAGATGGGGGTGGGAGCCCGCCCCTCCCGAGGCGTGCCCTCCCTCCCGAGGGTAGAGCAAGGGCCGGGACACCCGCACACCAGTCTTCCGAGCCCATGTCCCTCTGTCCACTCCCCTGGGCCCAGGAGGAGCTGGTGAACAACACGGAGTTGGTGCAGAGCTACCGGCAACAGATTGGGAACGTGGTGAACCAGGCCAACCTGCAGCTCTTCTGGAACATATACAACAGGTGTGGGCCGGGCGGGATTGGCAGCACCTGGTCTCAGTCAACTTCTTGCCCCCGCCACTACCACGGGAGGCAGGGCTAGCTCCACAGCACCCCCCTCGCCCCCCCTCCCCCCCCCCGCTTTGTAGATGAGCAGATTAGGCCTCAAAGAGGGCTCACTTCTCGCCCAGGGTCACTGTCCCAGCCCCGTGAGGGGCAGAGTGGGGCCTGGAAACAGGGTTCTGTCCACTCCTGCTCTCTTGGGACAGCTGGCTGGGAGCCCTGGGGAACACTGTCAACAGCTGTGTCCCTTAGCGCCCCTTTGGGGGCTTCTCTGCAGGAGGGGGGCAGTCAGGCAGCCAACACTCCCCCACCTACCCTCCCTTCTCTTTCTCTGACAAGTATTTATTAAGCACCTGCTTGTGCGTGGTGCCGAGAAACAAGGGCAAACAAGAGAGACCCTGGCCCTGCCCTCCTGTGTGTCTGGGAGACAGGCTGGCAGTGGAAAATCCCACAACACAGATGGCGCTGCCCCTCACAACGAGCGCTCTGAGGGCGATGGGGAGCGATCTGGACCCCCACCTGGCATGAACTGGGGGGTCTGGGAAGAAGTCGGGGACGAGGGGAGCCCCCTGTGTATGCAGGGCTAGGTCCATGTCTCCCTGCTTTACACACTGGAATCTGCAGCCAGCTCTGTGGTTCTGGGTGGGACCAGCCCAGGGGCTCCGGGAATGTTGGGCCACACTGGTTATTGGGTGGCGATGGGTTATGGCTGAAATACAGCGGTGTCAGGTGCGGGGACACTCTCCGAGGTTCAGTCCTGGGGATGCCCACCTCGGCCTCTGTCCCCACCCCGACCCCACAGCCGCAGAGACCTGGAGATTAACCGGCCTGGGACAGTGCCCAATGCCAGGACCCTCCGGTGAGTGCCCCCACACCCTCCTGCCCGCCCCATCCTTGACCCCCCACCCCATGCCCAGACCAGCCACCCCTTCTCCTCTGTCTGCAGCTGCCCTGTGATGCTGGTAGTCGGAGATAACGCACCTGCGGAGGATGGGGTGGTGAGTGTGGCTTGTGCCCTGACTGCGCGTGAGGGGAGGAGGAAGGGGGTCATTCGTCCCTGGCCAGCAGGGCCCCCTCCTGACCCAGCCCGGGGTAGCCTTGGGGACAGGCACTACACAGTGGACTTCTCATCCCACTTTCTGTCATCTTGCCACACGTCACCAACTGGCGTCCCCCCTCCCTATCCTTCAGGTGAGGGAGGTGTGGAGATGGGGGGGCAGAGGCCGGGCTGGGCCACCCTATGGCCCCTGCTCCCCTGCCTTCCCAGCAGTGCAGCCCCCACTGCAGCCTCTGCCCACTTTAGACCAGAGCTAAGAGCTGTCTTTTCTTTAAAATGTGATTTATTCACTGTGAGGTAAGTTGTTCATGGTCCTGTCTGACCACCACTTGCATCTGTTTGGGGACCATGTCTCACCTTTCCTGCTGGACTCTGGGAGCAGGCAGCCTGGGCTGGCGTGTCCCCCTCAGTACACCTGGAGAAGTGGGGGTCCAGGATGCCCAGGGCAGCCCCCACGTGTGAAAACTGCCAAACCGTCCTTGTGACTCGAAGAGGGCTCAGCAGAGCAGGAGTGTGGGCTGTGCTGGCCATCTTGACCCAGGCAGGGGTCTCCGAGTGTCCTGCTGACCCTTGGCACCTTCCCCAGGTCACTGCTCTGTTTCCTGTGGTCCCTGGCACTTTCCCAGACCACTGCACCAGGGTGGCCCTGGCTCCTTCAGATACTGCCCGGCCTCTGCCCCACGCCCACCCCGCCAGCACTTGTTAGTGGAGTCCCAGTGTTCTCGGGCCCCTCAGGGGGCTGCTAACTGACCTCCAGGGACTTGGCCTGGGTGGGGCAGCGTTGCCCAGGTCCTAGGGGCTAAGTCTGTGTCTGCTTCCCCTACACTCCCCTCTCCGTGCCAGTAGAGCCCCACAGCTCTGGGTCTAGGACCCACCCTAGCAACTGGCTGGCCGGGATCCCCCAACCCCACACCCTCAGGCTAGAGGGGACCTTGCTTTCTGCTGAAGCTGCCTTCTTGCCCCCAGGTTGAGTGCAACTCTAAGCTGGATCCCACCATCACGACCTTCCTAAAGGCAAGCCTCCCCTGCCCAGCCCTGGGCCATGTCCCACCAGGAGCCCAGCCTCAGCGAGGGGTCTGTCCTGGGGGTCCTTGGCAAGGACAGGAGCAGGATTGTATGTCTGGTTAGGGGAGCCTGTCCATGTGTGGGAGGGCCAGGGTGGGGCGGCCCCTGCTCAGCTGACCCCGCTCTCTCCCCTGCAGATGGCAGACTCAGGAGGGCTCCCCCAGGTCACACAGGTGAGGCTCCTGGCCCTCCTTTCCTTGTGTCTGTAGCCAGAAGTGGGGGAAGCCTCCAACCTCCTCCTAACCCCAGGCAGCCAGTCAAAGCATGTCCCTGTCCCACCCTCTTGCAGCCTGGGAAGCTGACAGAAGCCTTCAAATACTTCCTGCAAGGCATGGGCTACAGTAAGTATACCCCCACCCCACCCCAGAGACTGGTGGGGCAGGCTTCAGGAGTGCGGGTGGGGGGGTCATGCTGGTGGGGGTGGTACCCAGGTGTCTGGGGGCGCTTGGGAGCCTGTGGGCATATGAACTGTTTGTCACCTGGGCCCAGGATGCTGGCTGACTCTTGCCACATACTCCTGTGTTTGTGTAGGACACACAGTGACCTACTAGAGTGTCTCCACCTAAGTTGTAAGTTGAGCATCCCAGGGCCCAGCTCTGTTTGGAACGCTGTTTTGGTGGCAGTGCTGGGCCTGGTGGGGGGCTTGTCTCCCAGCCCTGGAGGACCAAAGGTGGGGCTGGGTCTTGCAAGGGGACACAGCACTTACTCCTGTTGGGCCACGGGGGCATTCCTGGGCCTGTAGCACCTGAGAAGGCCCTTTGTCACAGGTGCTGGATGGTGCTCAGGGCATCACTGGAGTAGACTCGGAGTATGGGGACCAGGGAGGGCAGGTGGGACCATCTGGGTGTCAGGAGAGCTGAAGGCAGCAGAACCTGGGGAGGGGGGTATATCTGAGGACCCTGAGGTAATAGGGGCTATGGAACGGAACTGGCTTCTTGCCTCCTCTCCTTGCCTTTCCCTACCCAAGTTTCCCCTTGTAGAGGGATGAGGAGACTCCCAGACTGCTCGTATGCCCCCCAAAAAACACACACGTACCCCTGGCTCCTGTACTGGGAAGCAAACCTTCTCGCCCTTAATTTTTTTTTCTCCTCCAGACTTGAGCCTCTGGAGCTTGGGTGACTTTGGGAGGACAGGAAGGGCAGGGCTGTGGGGGAGGCGGGGGAGCATGTCCAGCATAGATTCACTCTGGCCCCCAGGGGCTGCAGCCTCTTTGGAGAAGTGGGGCAAAGAGAGTCTGAGGCCCATAATGAGGCATGGCTGGAGCTCCGCGGCTGGGCCTCACTCAGAGGCGCTCAGTGGACATTTGTGGGACGAATGAATGAGTCATACTTGTCAGGTTCTGGAATGTGTTCTCAGGGGCCCTGGGAAAAACACCACCAGGCAGCCCAGTCATTGAGAGGGCCTCCTCCATTCCATACAGGGGGACACTAAGGCCCAGCAGAGTGGTGAGGGCCCTGGGACTAGGATGTGGGCCCAAAAGGACCTTGTTGACATGGGTCCCTCAGTGCCAGCACCCAGGATGGAGAAGGGGGGCCAGATGAGTACCCCCACCCTGCTGTTGGGGTTCCCTCAGGCCAGACACATTATCTATCCATGCTATGGTTCCTTCTGGGGGCCGCTGCCTTGGTGGGTGGGCTGGAGTGGGCTCTCGGAGGCTCTGGCCCTGCCCCGGCCCTTTCGGTGCCTCTCCTTTTTCGTCTCATCTCTTTGGCCTGTCTCAATGCCTCTTCACCCACGTTCTGTGTCTCCCCACCCCCTGCCCCTCTCTGGCTCTGTCTTCTCTGTTAGTTGCATACTTGAAGGACCGAAGGCTGAGTGGAGGAGCAGGTAGCCCTGTGCCCAACCCCCACCACTGCATGGAAACCCCCCCAGCCTCCCCCGGCCCTGTCCTTTGTGCAGTGCTGCAGCCAGGCCGCGTCTTGCTGTGGTTTGAAACCTTGTGTCCTGCTCAACTCAAAAGCGCCAAAGATGCCCACTCTTCCGCAGGTCCTGGTCCACCATGGGATCTGACCCATTGGGCTCTAGATTTGCTGGGCTTTTAGAGCATTTTTGCTTCTAGATTGCTGTGGGCTGTGTGCCTTCCAGAGTTCTGGGAGTTGGAACCAGAAGCCACATCCTCAGAGGTAGGGCCCAGGCCTGGCCATGCCCAGCTCAGAAGAGATGGCTGGTTGAGTTCAGAAGGGTAGAATTTGCTTCCTGCAGATCTCACTGATGAAACTCTTGATAAGTTGACTTAGGGCAGTTGAGGCTACCATACCTTGTCCTCCTTCTTTCCAGAAGAAGTCCTAACCGCCCTCCCCCACAGCATCCTCCTGAGGGAAGCAGAGTTGGAAATGTCACATCCGTGCACCAGCTTAGGGATGCCTGGTCAGCTCCCACCCTGGACTGGCCTTGACTCTGGTCAGCGACTGAGAGAGGGTCCTGCTGGCCTCTGCCCGGCCCCTTTGGCTCCCTCACTGTTGCTAACGCTGCATGCCTCCAGCTTGATGGAGCAGCCGCCAGAGGCCTGGCTTGGGATGGGCCTCTGTGTGCCACTGGAAGACCAGGTCTCGCTGGCCGCTTTGCTTGCGTGTATCCTTTTCCTGCCTGCTGGTGCCTGGCCCCGCCTCCTTGTCTTCATGCCTGTCCCGTCTCTGTCCACAGTGCCCTCGGCCAGCATGACCCGCCTGGCCCGCTCTCGCACTGCCTCCCTCACCAGTGCCAGCTCGGTGGATGGCAGCCGCCCGCAGCCCTGCACCCACTCGGAGAGCAGCGAGGGGCTGGGCCAGGTCAACCACACCATGGAAGTGTCCTGTTGAAGCCCTGGGTCCCGCCGAAGACACCCACCTGTCCACTTGCATCGACCTGCCGTCCCACTCCCATCCTTGCACCTGCTCATTTTCCCTTTATTTTTGTGAGGGTGTAGGGGGGGAAATGGGGGTTACTTCTCTTTTGTTTAAAAAAAATGAGGGGCTCTATTTTAGATGCTGCAGCTGAACAGTCGTCAGATGGTTTAAGGAGCTCACTACTCCCTACCCCCAACTCACTCAACTTCACTTGGAATTAGACCCCTCTCACCCAACCCCCAGCGGCCCGAGCACAGACAGACAGACAGACAGAGACAAGGCAGGGGTACAGGGAGGAAGGCAAGAGTCTGAGTCCTTCTCTGGCCAGGATCCAGACAGTGTCCTAGATTCCAGAAAACGTGTGGGATGACCCTTTGGGCCGGCAGGTTTGCAGACAGGATGGAGTTTTGAGAGTGGTGGATGCTGGCACAACAGGAGCCTGGGGTCCAGCTCAGGTACTGGCATGAGAGCCAGGAGACAGTAGCGGGGAGCACTGGGGGTCAAGGAGCCTTGGAGCTTTGAAGGCCCCTTTCCCCAACCCCTGCACCAAGCCCATCTGTTTTTGTTTTTTAATACATGTGACAATCATCTGAATAATAGCCACAAGGGGGCGCTCCTAGCAGGCGGCTGTTTGCCTGGTGTTCTCTTGTGCCTGGCTGGTGCTGTAGGGCCAAGTAGGCAGGGCTTTTAAAGGGAGTTTCTCTGCCCAGGGAAGACAGAACATGTAGGACCCTGAGGAACCCCACAGACTGTCCCTTCCAACCCACCACATCCGGATCCTGGCCCTGAGGCAGAAGTCGACCATCTCCACAGTGACCTGACTGGGGGCTGAGGAAAAAGGCTGGGATGACCCTTGCATGTTGTCAGTGAGTGGCCAGAGACAGTGGTGGCTGAGTTGCTGCAGACCCCTTCTTTGCACCAGTCAGCAGGAGGTGGCCTGTGGTGTTTCTAGGGAGACTTCTGGTCAACCTGGGCTAACCTTTCCTGTAGGCATCACTAAGGAAGAGCAAGTTCATCCGGAGAGAAAGGGTGCACAAATCCTCATCTTTTCCATCTGAGTTGGTTGGAGGGGTGGGGCTGGGGCTTGCTGTGTTCTGGAATGGGAGGCTTCCCACACACCCTAGCCCTCTCCGGCCCCCAAAGCCCAGGACTGTGCCAGGTACTTCCGACCCACCCACCTTTCCAGGTAGAATTTCCTGGCTCAGCAGCCAGGACCCATTTGTCTCAGAGCTTAAATCAATTGCCTCAAACCCCAAAATAGGCAAAAAGAGGGGAGACAGCAATGAAAACCGAAGGGCTGTGGAGGAGGGTGTGTGGGGGGTGTTCTGAGGCTGAGGACACCTGCATGGATGTGTTTCCTCTGCACACATCACCCACCCCCTTCTGTAATCTTAAGCCATTACCAGACTGTGCTAGAGCCTGGCGAGTGTTAGTCTGTTCCTAGTGCTAGTCAGTCACGTGCTTCCTTTGACTATCAAGTGTGACTGTTTGAAAAGCTGGTAGAATTAATCCCTCTTACTGTAGATAGCACTGCGAATATTGGACTTTTTTTTTTTTTAAATTTTGCTGTGTTCTTTCAGATGAGATATCTATAAATATCTATACAGTATATATATATGTATATTGGGTCCCCCTGTGTGTGGTTTTCCATCAGAGGTAGTCTGCTTTCTCTGGTCAAGTTGAACTTTTAATGGAGTTTATTATCTTCCTCTCTGTACAAAGTGAAGAGCCTAATTTTGTGAATTCTGGTGGCTGATGTCATGAGACTTTCAGATGACAAAATGTAAAACAAAAATCCTTGTCAACGTAGAGTTAATTGTGCTGAAAAACTAATAAAGACGCTAAGAAGAATGTGAGTGTGGTGATGCCACGCCCAGAAAGGCAGAATGTTTAGATCGGTGTCTCCTAGGTTTAGGTGGGGTTGAGGGTGCAGGGGGAGGCCAGGGACTGTCCCCATTTCTACATCTCCAGCACTTGTCACATACATTATTTTGGTAGTCCTCACATTAATTCTACAGGATGGATATTATCTCGGTTTTACAGATGAGGAAACAGCTTCAGGATAAGGGATTTGCCCTAATAAGAGGCCACGTTGGGAGCTGAACTCGGCATTGTTTGACCTCAAAACCTAGATGTACCAGTAATCTCTACTTGCTGCCCCAGTTCTTTAAATTTAACATGTTACTTAGCTGCCCACATTTAACCACCGTCCATCACTCATTTATAATAAATATTGAGTCCGTTAGATGCCAGCTAATAGAGAAGTAAAGAAAAATAATATCTAGTATGTGCTATGCAGAAGATGAAAAACGGGAGGATACACTAGCGAGTGGAGGGAAAGAGGGCCTATTCTAGATCTGGGAACGCTCGCCGCGCCACCCCGGAACATCCACACGCAGACTGCTGTAAGAACAGCAGGAACACCGGAGCTAACAAGGGGCTTTGGACGCCCACCTGGGTGCGCTTTCCTCAGGCCAGCCGCCAGGCCCTCGGCTTCCAGTCCAAAAACCAGATTTTGTTCTAGCACCCAGACTTTAACACCTCGCAGGTTCCCAGCTCTAGGAGAGTCATCAAAGGAGAGGGTTGTACCTGGCTCAGTAGGTTCGAGGCGTCACCGGGACACCCCTTCCTTTACTCAGACCACGCGTCTTCTGAACTCAGTTGGGGGCCCCACCCCATTGCCGTGTGGTCGACCTAGACTCAGCAACTCCCTAAGACAGAGTAGAACTGCCCATGGGGTTTCCAAGACTCTTATCTTTACGGAAGCAGACTACCAACAGCTGGTGAATTCCATCGTCGACCTCTCAGCAGCCGAGCGCTTAACCTAGGCTCCTTCCTTCAACTGGGGGCAACTGGATTCAAAGAGGATGTTTCAAGAGGAACTATTTCACCGGGAGCAAACCCTCATGGCTCTCTCGGGTGGATGCTAAAACCACGTGGTTCCAAGTGCCGGCTGGCCCGCCCCAGAGGCGTGGTCAGGCCGCCGGAAGCGCCCGTTTGGATCTGCTAACAGCAACGGCCTTTTGCGCTCTGACCATGGAGACCGAGGCTAAGCGCCGGCGGGTGAGTCCCGGGCAGCCGATGCAGGGCCCACTTCTCTCCGCTGCCCCCCACCGAACGCCACCCCGCCCCGGGACGTCGTCCCGCTCGCGCCCTCTCCGCTCCCTCCCGTGGGTCACCTGCCCCTGTCCGCGCGCCCCCTCCCCCACCCAGAGCCTTGCCTCCCCGCGCGCGCGCGTGCACGCGCACGCGCCGCCGTCTCCTCCCGCCCCCAGCAGGCCTTCCTGGGTGGGGCCCAGTCACTGCGCTCACTTGTCCAGGTGGCGGGGCCCGTGGGCGGCGGCGACGAGGATCCGGACCCGGTGGCGGGCTTTCTGAGCTGGTGCGGGCGGGTGGGGCTGGAGTTGAGTCCTAAGGTGAGTGAATGGGCGGCGGGCTGGAGGGAGGGGCGGCGGGGACGCGGCCAGCTGTGACCAGCCCGGCCCCTTACTCAGGTGGCGGTGAGTCGGGAGGGCACGGTGGCCGGCTACGGCATGGTGACCCGGGAGAGCGTGCAGCCTGGGGAGCTGCTGTTCACGGTGCCGCGGGCTGCGCTTCTGTCTCAGCACACTTGCTCCATCGGCGGCCTGCTGGAGCGAGGTGGGCAAGCCGGCAGGCGGGCGGGGGTGCCGGGACGCACCGCGGGGCGCCGAGGCCCTCACCCTGCGTCTCTCGCAGAACGAGGCACGCTGCAGAGCCAGTCGGGTTGGGTGCCGCTGCTGTTGGCGCTGCTTCACGAGCTGCAGGCTCCGGCTTCGCCCTGGAGCCCCTACTTCGCGCTGTGGCCCGAGCTGGGCCGCCTGAAGCACCCCATGTTCTGGTGAGAGCCGTGGGAGAGATTAGGGAGCGCTTGCAGGGCAGCCTGTTTCGGCCGCCCTGTCCTCGAGCGCCGGTCCTGGTAGGGCGTGTTGAAGGGAACCTGGATGGGGGTGTCACTACAGGCCCGAGGAGGAACGCCGGCGACTGCTGCAGGGCACAGGAGTGCCTGAGGCCGTGGAGAAGGATTTGGCTAACATCCGCAGGGAGTACTATACCATCGTTCTGCCCTTCATGGAAGCACATCCGGAGCTCTTCAGCCCCCGGGTTCGCTCCCTGGAACTCTACCAGCAGCTTGTGGCTCTCGTGATGGCCTACAGGTCAGTGAGTAGAACTTGGAGGACTGGACCCTGCTTTTAGAGCTATTTGTGGCTGGAACCTATCTACCAGTCTTGGATGGGGAAGATTTGGCAATCTGCTCCCATAAAATTACAGCCTAGAAAACCGTATGGGCCGTAGTGAAAATCAAGTCCACATAGCTAACATTGAGGGACAGGAAAAGGAACAGTGAACCCCTCACCCAAGAGTGGGCCTTAGCCAAGTTCTCTCCCTCTCTCTCAGCTTTCAGGAACCACTGGAGGAAGACGATGATGAAAAGGAGCCAAATTCCCCCTTGATGGTGCCTGCTGCAGACATACTAAACCACTTAGCTAATCACAATGCCAATCTAGAATACTCGCCAGTGAGTAGATCCTGCCCAGTTCTTGTTTTTTTATGTGCAGTGATGATTGGGCTTGTGATTCAAACCAATGTGACATTTATGCTAGCCTGGTAATTAGCTAAAGGCTCACTCCCCAATTCATGCTGAAAACAGGTGTAAGTTAGCTCTTCCTGCATCTACTTGCTTTTTACTTAAGTATAATGCCAATAAAAATGTTTGAACACAAACTTATTTCGAATCCCTAAAAGAAAATGGCAGTTAACTCTCTGACAAACTATTCAGCCATCCTTTATTTGGAGCTGGAGGTTGCTGTCTTGCACAGCCATACTTCATTCTTCCCTTCCCTGCTCTGTGTAGTGCCACTGAGCCAAGGTAGGTACTGCCCCTGTGGACAGCAGCCCGAAACATGAGTCTCACTGAGGGGGTTTTCATAGGTCAGGGGTCTAGGACTATCCCA